GACGATGTCTACTCCCAGGTCGGCACCGTCAACTCCGACACGCCGCCTCCTCACCACGGACTGCAGGCCAGCGTGCAGTGAGGGGCACCGGCGGGCGGGCCGGGAGGCGAGGGGGCCGGGACGAGCACCGCCACCGGCGCGCACAGCCGCCCGCTCACCCGGACATACTCACACGCGCACACACACACACACACACACACACATGATCCAGGCTCGTTCAGACTGCTTGTGTTTATATATATATGGATAGACGCGTGCATCTATATCTATATATATATATAAGATCGATACCGATAGGGAGCGGTGGAGAAGGGTCGATCCGAGCGAGAGCGTTCAGTCCGCGCTGGGAAAGCGGGGTGGAGATGCGTAATGCACCAAAACTGCAGCTGTGCCGGGGAGGTGGCTGTGGGGAGAGGGCTTGGGCAGGTGGGCTCGAGCTTCTTTTTTAATTTTATTTTTTTAATTATTATTATTTTTATTTGTATTTTCACTCTCCAAATTATCCCCTTCTCGCAGCGAGGAGCACCACTGATGTCTGCACCTCTTCTCTCCTCTCCTCCCCCTCCTCCCCGCACTCTTCCCCCTATCCCCAAAAGGGCTCTCTTCTATGAATCACAGAAACTTTTTTTCTCCTTTCTCTTTCGTTCCTTTTTTTTCCCCTCTTTTTTTTTTTTTTTTTTTGAATGGGAGCAATCAGAAAAAAAAAAAATTAGGGAAGCAGAAGCAAAATAATCTGGTTAATCAGAGGGTGCCTGCTGCATTCCAGCACCCTGTTTTTCTTGGCCAAACCATCGGATTTTGGTGCAAGGCAGACATCCACTCTGAAAACATATATATATCTATCTATATATTCTGCAAAATGAAAGGGGCCACTTTTTTCCAGGAAAAAAAAGAAAAAAAAAAAAGGAAAAGAAAATATGCACACAGCACTAAAAACAAGCAGACTGCATAGGGAAGCAAATACATATATATATTTATCTATATATATAGGTATAGCTATAGAACAAAAAATATGGAAATAAAAGCCCTCATGCCGAAAAACTGACCCTGAGGAGAAAAGGGGGGAGGGGGGGAGGGAGAGATCCCGGGGGGAGGGGGGGGAAAGGAGAGGTTGTTGGTCCCTAAAGTTCTAGCTCTGTAGAAGGACTTTGCATGAATTAAGGGAACCAGCGAGAGAAAGGGAAATAATTTAGGGCTGTCAAAGTCCTGCTCCTGACGGCTGCCAATCATCATGGAAGAGTCATAAAAAAAAAAATAAAAATCCACTGCTAATATTTTTTTTATTAATATTTTTATTTTTTATTTCTGGACTGATTCAGATAAAGGGATTTAGAAGGACTGAGCATCTGCAGCTGCACTTATCTGAACTTCTCCTCTCCTAAATCCGTTGCCAACTTTGATTGAATGGGTGCTGTGGATGTGATTATATAATACTGCCATTTCCAAGCAGTGTTTTTGGTAGGTTTTAATAAACAGACTTTTCAAAAAGACGGCAATATAGAATTGTTAGATCCGTTGTTGATCTAAAAAAAAAAAAAAAAAAAAATTTGCTTTATATTTTCATTAAATGACTTCTTTTAATATTTTATTCAGAATACCTATGAACTGCTGCAAAACGGTAATTTATTTTTTCCCCAGATCTTGTATTACGTGTTTTTTTCAGACGAGCACAAATCAAAATGAAATGAAAATATGGACAGTTGTTAGGTAATAAGGGTATCTTTTGATGTGATAATTTGATTGTAATTTAATTTGAGTAGTGATTCCGTAAGAGCTGATTGAGAAAATAAATTTGTTAGAATGAAATAGTCTGTGTCTGATGCATAAACACTGTGTCGAAAAAAAACCCAAAGTTCTCTGAAGGGTAATACTGCAAATGATGAAGTGAGAGGAAGATGGGGGGGTCCGAGCCGCTCAGCCGGGCAGTGTCGCCTTCCCTCCTGTATCCCCGGGGCTATTCCCCCTTCATACCCCCCTGCCCGGCTGGCACATCTCCGTGGTCTCGACCATCAAAGTAGGGCCCCCCCGCCGTGGGGAGGGAAGGCGAGATCAGGGATGCTGAAAGCCCCCCTTCCCGCAGGGAGGGCCGTGCGGGGCGGGTTAGGCTGGCCCGGCAGGGCCTGGGTAGGGCCAGTGCCCGGAGCAAGGTTGGCTCCAGAAGTTCGTTCTTGGTTGCCCTCTGTTCAATCTGAGGTGGAGGGAGAGGGGAGGGGGGTTGTAAACTGTAAATTATTTTGATGCATTTTATGTCTGTGTAAATATTTGTATTTATAATTTAAGCAGCTATTTTTTTTTTCTTCCACTAGAATAATACTTTAGCCCATCCTACGTGTGGTCCGCCTGGTTCACCATTTCTGTTGTTGCTGTTGGTGTTGTTGCTGTTGTTGGTTTAGGGTTTTTCTATGGGATGTGAAGTGTTGTAGTCTAATTTTGTCCCACACAAACACACGCGTGTGCTGGTAATGTTGGAGATGCCGGTTGATGCGCTAAACCTGCCTGTCAGATTTATCTGCTATAATTTATTGTGATATAGGGACAAGTGAACCACCTTCTCTGCATTCTTCATTCTCAAGCAGGGAGGTTGTGGGAACCACAGAGCTGCACCTCCCGCCTCCACCCACCCCCACAGATAATCTACCACAGAATAAGGTTTTCTTTTATGGTCCATCTCATCCGTGGCTCCTTCCTCACCTTCCTCTCCCTCTCTTCGTTCTCTCCACCCCCCTCCCCATTTACTCCATGTGCTGTTGAGGCAGGGGGTTAAACCCCCCGAAAACTGCTGTAGGAACAACAAACATTTCTTCCTTTCAGATTAGGCCTTGTGTCAGTCCATAAATCAAAGGCATTCTGAGAGCCGGGCGCCGGGATGCGTTATTTTACCACCAGCTCATAGTAAAATATCACCGTCGGTTTGATTTGTGAAATCCGAAAGGCCCCACTGACACGGAGGGAAAAAAGGGGAGGGGGGGGGAAAGGGGAAAAAAAAAACAAACCAACAAAGGGAAAGAAACACGAAAGGGTAAAGGACGGTCTTTCTTTTGTTCATTTAGCAAAAGCTGCCGGCTCATTTCGCGGCTGGGGCGGGAGGGGGGAGCGCCGGGCCCCGTTAAGGCAGGAGGTGGGATCCTCTTTTCCACCCGTGAAGGGGAGCGGTTTATTAGGCGGGGAGAAGGGCTGTTTAAATTTCGGAGCGCTATTTGGTTCCTCGATTCGGTTGGCAACAAAGAGCCAACGTGAAGCTTCGCACTGGTTTCTATTATAAGGCAACCCTGGGGGGGAGGATGCCTCAGAAAAGCCGGGGTGCGGGCGGGGGGATAGGGGTCAACCTTTGGTCCGTGGGACGGCAAAACATGCCCGTTCCGTGGAGTTGTCACGTACAAAAAGTGAGGCCACAGGCTCTACCCCCACCCCCAGCCCCCTCCACTCCCCGAGAAACGGAACTCTTTGAATGTATTTAGGAATTTCAGGGTTGTGAAGCTGTGAGATAACGAGAGGTAGATAATCACTGAGAGGGTTTGCGCTAAGGGTTATATGGTTACACGTGTAAATAATGAAAATATTGTTATATATCGCCAGATCTCTTAATGAATTTAGTAATTATGTTCATTTCTAATATCAGTGTTCTGTGCTTGGTAATTGAGTCGGCATCGTTTTCCTTCTTTCCCCCCCCCCCCTTTTTTTTTTTTTTTTCCTGCTGTTCTGCCTAAAGGAAAGCCAAATGTTTTACGAAGTTGTGTTTGATCAGTCTGGGTAATCCCGACATGTGCTTATTTATAGTTTATGTTTTCATATCCTGTGGTCCTCAGTATCCTCACTCCCTCCCATCCCATCCTTCCCCCTTCGAGCCTTTACACAAGAAATCATTTTCAGGTGTATTGAAAACAGCCATCTCACTGCCGTTGGTCTGCGTATCTGTTGGAATTTAGCAGAGAGCTCTACCTTGATTTAAAAACACAGCGGTTCCACTAGGAAAGTGATCTTTCCAGAATCCTTATGCTTTAATGTAGTGGCTCGTGTTTGCACATGACGATGCTCAGAACTTGTTTTGTATGACTGGTTTTCAATTGAACGCTTAGAGAATAATCGGTTCTACTATCAAATGCAGTATATACTGTTGATAATTTTATCCGTAAATTGTAATATTTTAAATAATTTTAAGAATTTAATCTGCTTTTTAAATTATATATTTGTAAAATATTTATCCTGTCGTAAAGCAACAATATATTGTTGTATTTATTCGTTTATTTTTGTAATAAATGATCAACATCTTCCAGCTACAGCAAAATCAATACTTCTATACATTTATCCAGGGATGTATGTCTGAGGCGCAGAGAGACTTGTTCGGGTTTGCCCGGGGTGGAAGGATCACCCCTGTACCTGGCAGGTTGCAGGACCAAACTCTAGGCGAGAGCTTCTTCGCCACATGTACTTTACTTTGCTGGAGTTCCCGGGTAATTAATCAAACTCGGAAAGGGATGCAACAAGTTCCGGCCTCGGAGGCAGGCGTGAAGAGAGCGCTTTAGGGCAGGGACCGGGTTTGCTTGAACCAGGGATGGCGAGGAGCGTGGTGGCCTGTGTCCAGACAGACGGACGAACGGACAGATAAATGGAGCGAGGGAGGGCGATGCAGAGAGGTGGTTACCCCACCGGTATTCTGAGTTGAAGTTTGGAATAACGGAGCGGGCTGCGCCTGCAATGGCCGGCGGGAGAGGGGAAAGAGAGAGGAGGCGGACGGCCCCGCGGGACCGGTGACACTGCACTCGGGTGCTTATTTTTTGGGCTGAGAGGCTTTGGCCGTACAAAAAGCTAAGGGGCGAAGGCCGAGAGGGGTTAGGCTAGCCGTCTACCCTGTTCTCCCCGCCGTCAAAGGAGCAGCGGGGTCTCGGGGGCGCCCACGGGGCCGCGCTGTCGGGGCTGCACCGGGACCAGACCCCCCCTTCCTTCCTCTTTCTCCCTGAGGGTAGCACCTCGCCCAGGGAGAACGGCGCTCGGGCCCCCACTCGTGGAAGGCCGTCCTGGGGCAGCGCCGACGGGGCGTCCTGCGGTGCCCGGCCGCGCTCCCTCCCCGGTGGGGCGGCCCGGGCGGCGGGGCGCGGCGGCATGGGAGGGGCGGGCGGGCCGGAGCTCCCGGCGGAGCAGGGCAGCCCCGGGGGGAGCCGGCGGGCGGGCCGCGCGGTGCCGCGGCGGCAGCTGCTGCGGGTCCCACAAGTTGTATTCCTCGTGGCGACCATTGAGGAAAACGCAGACTCCTTTCTCTAAGATTTAAATTTCGCGGATGAATTACCATACAGCGGTTGCTTAGCAACTAAATTCAAGCCGGGCTAAGAATATGCAAGCTTTTTGTATTCTCATTAATAAAAATGCCACTCTGACACAGCAACCTGACTTTGGATCACTGCAACTTCTGTAAAAGCCATGGGAGAATACAAACCGGCTCCTCCATTTAATTACAGATCAGAGTGGCTTGAAATGTGATGTTTTGTTAATCTATCTTCCTAAAAGCGATGTAAAAAATAACGGCTTTTCAAGAGCAGTGGAAAACTACTTTTTTAATGGAGCTGTCTCCTGGTGCTACTGATGGCTGTAAAGCGAAACCTTTCTTCTTGGGTTTTTTTTTTTTTTTGAGTCACACTTTCAAGCAGCATCCCCCCTTTCGTTCTGAGTTTTCTGAAATCAAAAAAACATTAAGACGTTGGCAACCATAGGGGAAGAAGGAAAGAAAGAAAATAATAATAAAAATAAATAAGCTGCAGCCGACTGGCTGGTTGGAGAGGCAAGCATCACTCAGGGAAGAGAAAGGGGGAGGTAAAAATGTCGAGAAGCAGCCCCAGTCTGGCACAGACTTACATGTGGGGTGCTGCCTGTTCTGGTTCTGGAGCAGGAGTCAGTCCCTTACTCCAGAGTGGTTCTGTTTGGCATAAGGTGCCTGGCTACTTCTGCTGGGGAGGGCAGAAGAAACACCTTCAGGGAGACCTTGTTGAATGTTTCTCTCCAAAAATGTGTTTCCCCTTTCTGCCAACATTGACTTTACATTACTCTTCGAGCAGTGGAGATAAGCTCTTGGCGTTCAATTCTGGCATTGCACACCCAATCTCGTATATGTGGGAGAATGACCTCATCAGAGGAGGACTGTGGGTATAGATAGGATTATTTAAACATAGACTAGACACCTACATATAAAGCTATATATAAAGATGTGTGTGTATGAGATAGAGATATATATATGTATGTGTGGCTTCAGCAGCACCAAAGAACTTCCCCGCCAGCCTGTGGGAAGGGCTGCCTGCATTTGGGACGGGGGGCAGTGGCTGCAGGGGCCGCTGGCTGCTTTCACTGACATCTGGGGGGGGGGGGGGGGGGGGGAGGGGGGTAGTGGTGCTTTTTTAGCAACAGAGTTAAACACAAACTTTCTTTTCTCCTGTCTTTCCCCTGCCCCTTTATTTTTCCTCTTGAAAGTGCTAAAATCGAGCCTGTATTGCACAAAACCCAAGCCACATTAAAAGCTCAGGCATGTAGGGTGGTTTATTATTGTTATTTGTATTTTTCCAACAGGGTGTATCTGCAGGAAGAACTTGGGGTTCTGTCCAAGCTGTGCAGGTCACTGAGGAATCAGGGGGTGCTCCCTCCTCCTCCCTCCACCCCCCTTCTTTCTTTTGCTTTTAAGGTTTTCATTTTTCCCCTGAAAGGAGGAGGATGGCTTGAAGGGGGGTGGATGGTCGAGGGGGTTAGGCATTTTCCAAACATGAGTTTGTGATCGAGGGAGCTCTCTCTCCCAGCAGGGTTTAGTCTCTCCTCGCTTTAAACCGTAGAACAGCAGACCAAAAAGGAAAGAAAAAATCCCATGTAACAAATACCAAGGGAAGAAAAGGCAGTGAAGTGAGAACCTGTGAAGACAAGAGTCCCCCTGAAACTCAGGCTCACCCAAAGCTACAGCAGAGTGTTTTGCTTCTCTCCCCAACGGTTATAGGATGAGTATCACAAGGCTACAGCATAAATAATCACATTGCCTTCCATTTTACATCTCTCTCTCTCTAGCAGAGTTGAGATTAAAAGCCAAAATCCAAGCGCAGCCCTGAAAGAGTGGTTGAATGGTGCCAGTACATATGTTTCCCACTCACATGTTGAAAACTGTACCTTCAAACATAGGCTTGTTGCTGATAGCTTGCATTTCTTCAGCTAAAAGGTGAGGGGGGGGGGGGGGAGGGAGCTAAACAGAACTTTTCTGAATTGTTCCTATTGAGCACATCAGTAGGGTGAAAAGATGGTGTTACATTAGCTCGATACCTTCAACGCAAACAGGGAAAGTTTATCAAGACAAGCTCACAGGCATACCACAAATGGAGATCTTTATTTTAAGACCTGGGGTGGTTCAAACTGACTTGACACCAGTACTGAGCACCATAACATATTTGGTTTGGAAACAAACTTTCTTCTGCAGTAGAATGAAGTGGATTGCTGCTCCTGGATACCAGGTCACTCCAAGTGTCCCCTTGCTGCCTTCCTTGCAAGGCACATGACAGAGAGGAGAGTTTCTATCCACAGGGATGGTGCTTTCCTGTCATGCTGCTCTGCATGCTTTCCAAAGCCTAGGCAAGGGGTCTCAGCAGAATTATTTCTTCCTAGGGAAAAAATGGATTAGAAGGGGGTAAACAGCTAGGGGCTGCTACCTGCACTGGTAGTAGGCCTGCTTTTAAACACAACATCAAGGTGGCGTGATACATGTGTGAAATGACACTGACAGGTACTATTTCTTCCTGAGGTCCACGCTGATTGGAGAAAGTCAGAGTTGTTGACTGCCTTGTGTCTGGGGCCATTCTTTCAATTTGAAATGAATTGATTTAAAAAAGGAGGGACTGGCTAATGGGGAACCGCATGGCTGCTATATTTATGTGCATCAAACCAAAATTTAAACAACTTGAGGCAGCGTGGGCTGTATAAATGTTATATATATAGTAACCTTTGTGTTATTAGTTTTGGAAATGCTTGGTGCTACTTCCCTGCCACCGCTCCGTAGAGCTGACTATATGTCATTCAATGCATGCTACAGGCGAGTGGGAACTGTTTGCTCAACAACTCTAGGCTCCATTTCCAATTGGAGCACTAACGTACACCCTGAGCTAGTCACACAAAGCCAGGTAGTCCTGCGTATGTAGACCACTTCACCAAGCAGGCAGCTGAAGTACAAAAAACAAGCATGTGGCTGAAGGGGAGGTGTGGGCTGGAGGGTCTTCTGAATGGGTTGGTTTTGTTGTTTGGATTTTTCCCCCTCTCTGTGTGAGCGCTTGTGAGAGCCAGAGGATGGGGACATCCTCTGGAGCTGAGTCTGGGCTCATCTCTCCACCTCCCCTTCAAGTTGAAGATATTGTGAATATTTACTGAGTATGACAGGCATGAGGACTGCTGGGCATTGATCATTATTATATCCCTTCCTCGACAGAAAGTGGGCCCAAGATAGCAGAGCTGAAACTAATCTTTCTGAAAGGGGGGAAAGAAAAAGGAGGTGTGTGTTGGTGAAGAATTGTGCTGGAGTCACATACATTTCATTCATCTTCTGGAGCTCTCATTCAAAACAGGGGTTCATCTGCTCAAGTAGGACATTTCTCAGAGAAACCTAATAGATATTTATTCTAGAGTCCACAGTAAAGCCATAGACCAAATGCAAGGTGCAAAGTTCTCCATTTGTTTCTCTCTCTCACACACACATCCACACACACGCAAACACACACTCCCTTCTCTTCCAAAAATAATAGAACATCCTCTCCCCAGTTCTGCCACCTTCTCTATTTTATGCAGATCCACACTCAAATGTGTACCAAAATTCTTAACTCAATTTACTGAAATCACCTAGATTGTCGAGGAAATTAAACTAAACAAGGAGCTGTGTGAAATGTTGAACTTTAAATACCATCCACTACCTGGAGAAGAAGAAAATGAGTCAATAAATGCTCAGGTTTCTGCTACTTTTAGATTATCGTAATTAAAAGAATTATTTTGTGATATTTTTTTCTTTTGCTTAGCGTGGTGAGAATTCCCTCATGCTGTAATAATGGGCATTTGAAAATAACACTTTTCTTTTCTGATGTGGGGCTGAAGGACGGGGTTACGGTGTGTCCCCTTAGTGTTAATGACGGATACGGACGTGTTTAATCTCACGAATGGTACGTGTGTTTCTGTGAATACCAGGCGACATGACAATGTCATTTTCAGTAGCCCAGAAGAGGCGTATTTTACCTGGAGAACTGGGCTGGGTGCTGCTGCTGCTGCTGCTCTGGGGTTTGGGTTGGGTTTTTAATTGTCCTGCCTATTCTCTCAAGTCAGTATTAAAGCCATACAGCAGGGCTGAGGCCAGGGCTGAGCGAGCCCCGTCATTAACAATAGCATAAACAAAGGAAGGGGACCAGTTACCTTGACATTAGATGCCCGCTTTGTTCCCGAGCCTCCAACTGCATCCCGACGCCCATACAGGGAAGTATTGCCTACGGGAATGAATAATCCACTCCAGCTATTGTCCCAGTCCCCTGGAAAACAAAACAACACAACCAAAACAAAGATGACAGCCCCCACCCCCACCCCTCCCCGCTCCGCACGGAGCCTGCGAATGGTTCCATCCCCTCATGCCTTTCCCCGGACTTCTCTCGGCCACTCTCACCACTAACCCGCTCCCCTGATCTCTGCCCAAGGGCGCCTCCCGCTTCGCCCAAGCTCTTCAAGCCCCCTATTCCCCAGTTTCCATGAGCAAATGGCTTAATGGCTTGGAGGACACCCCCCCACCCCCGTGCTCTGGGGAGGACGAGGGGCAGCGAGGAGGCTGTGCGTTCCTGTGTTCCGCAGCCCAGCCGGGCCGCGCCGGGGGGTGTCCGTGGTGGACTGGGAGGCCCGGCGGCATGGGATGAGTGCCTTCAAGCCGGTGTGTCGTGTGTGTGTGTCACAGGGAAACGGGATTCATTCCACCACCACCGCGGCGTGGCCTGATAAGAGGGGCAGCGCGACATACCCACGCACTGCCGTGGGGGGGCGGGGGGGCGAGCGTCTCTGTGTGTGTATCTCCATTGTCCTTCCAGCTTCTCCCTCTCTGGACGGTTTTCCCCTTGGAGGGACCCACCCGGCGCTGCGCCCCCCTCGTCCCCCCCTCCTGGCAGACCGCGCTCCTCAGCCCCCGGATTTGGGAGAAACGCCCGGTGCAGGCCTCCCTCCCCCTTCCTCTTCCCTCCCCGCTCCTGCCCGGCCGGAGGAAGAAGCCTGCCTGGAGCAGGAACGTCTCTTTCCTCTGCCAAAATAACTGAGCTCCTCGCATCCAGTTTTGCTTTCCCCTTCTCCTAGAGCTCCATGCTGGCCGTCAGGGCAGAAGGATGGATAGGAGCCCCCGCAAAGTTTGAGGGGGGCTGCTGTAACCCCGTCCTTCTCTGCAGAGAGATGGAGCAGGGCCAGGCCACAGTAGCACTCCCAGGGGCTCCCTCCCACCCCGGGGTGAGCTTTTGTTCCCGCTACCCTCGGAGGGGAAAAAGTTCAAGCCCCGGGAGCCCTGCGCCTTCGCCTGACTCTCCAGGAAAAGAGGAAGGAGACCTGGTGGCTTAGCCTGAGGTAGAGGGAGGTCTTGAGAGCCAGATGCACCGATCCCAGAGGTAGCCAAATCCGTCCTCACAACGTGAGAGGGTGCGTGGGGGTACAGGGGGAGCGAAGGAGGTAGTCTGAACCTAAAGCCCTTGCTTCAAAGGTCAAGATCTCCCTCGTCAAACGCTGCTGGGCTGAAAGGGGGAAAGGAGGGAGCGTCAACATTAGTGCAAATTTCAAAGCACTGAAAATAGCTCTAAGAAATCCCGATGATGCACCCACCACCGGTTCTTTTTTCCCGGGACATGTGCATTAGGGGAAGCTTTTCCCGGAGGTTCCTGTGAGCAAGGCCAGCGGGAGCGACGGCTGCCACCCCCCATCCCACCCCCCGCACCTGCAGCCTCTGGCTGAGCTGGGGACCCTGCTGCTGCTGCCGTCTCAGTAACATCCCTCCCCCCCCAAGCTTTGTCGGGAGCAAACCTGCTCCCAAATCAAACTCCCTCCTCTCCTGGGCCGTGCCCCCGCTGGGAGCTGCGGCGGCCGGGCAGGGGCCGGCCCCGGCAGCCCTTTATGAGCTGCGGTCAGCACCGGGGGGTGGGTTTGCAGCTGCATGCAAATAAATCCCCGGCAATAATCTCAGGCGGGTGTGCTGGCCCGACGACAAAGTGCCGCCACAAACGCGAGTGCTAGTTTTCCCTTCCCCCCCCCCCCCTTTTTTTTTATTCTTGACCACCTAGGTACCTCAACCTAGGGAAACAAAAATAGGAAGGGAAGGAGGAGGGGGAGTAAGAATTTGGTTAATACGCATGTTTCATCAAAGGCAGCCTGCTTTTGTGATATACGGAAGCCAAGGATTTGTTTCCCGCACCTCTGCGAGAGCATCGCCACCCGCCCCAGCTGGAGAAAACGATTCCACGCGTGACGAGCAGGACCGAGGTGTCCTACCCACGCGGCCTCCCGCTGCTGCCTTATTTGTCCCGTGCCCACGTGGAAAACGCATCTTTCCCCTCAATTTTCATTGAGTTACAGCTGCATTGGATATGGGATGGAGGGTGGTGGGGTGTGATTTTGTGCAGTGTCTTCTCTGGCAAGTAAAAGTTTTTCTGTTTAGTTGGTTTACTGCTCTCCAAGACACCTTCCCCTGTTCTGTTTGCACGTATAGGGGAAGGGATGTTTGGTGTTTTGCTTGCCCATCTTACGTTAAAGCTTAAGAGCAGAATCAATGGGATAAAGGGAAAAATAAATAAATAAAAGAGGGTGAATCTTTGAGAAAGAGCCGGAGTGGGGGAAGAAGGAACATCAATCCGCAAAAAATAACCCCAGCAATACAGTTCCAGAGAGGATGGGATTGGAGGCTGAGGCGGGGGGTTACATTCGGGAATTGGGAGTCTCTGCCGACCAGCAATCCTTCAGGACACCTGGTGACCCCCTGGAAGACAGCCCCTCCTCCTGTTCTTCCCGCTAGTTCTCCCGATTCCTAGGAGGATGCTGAGCCCAGCCGGGGGGGGGGACGGACGACGACAGTCTGCTCTCCCTTTCTCCCACCCCGAACTTTGGGAGGGGAACACTTTATTCCTTTGGAAAAGCCCTTTTGCCCGGAAAACCAGCGGCAGCTGGTCATTCAAGTCACCTTCCCCCCGCCCCGCCGCCAGCTCCCCCGTGGCTGCGGGCAGTCGGTGCGTGGCTCCCGGCCTGACCCCAGTCTTCTCCCGCTCCACCCGAGCCAGGGCCCGCTCTGTTTCCGCGTTTCACCCCTCGGGGCTGGGACGCTTCGCCGTAGCCGTCTTGCCGGGCACAAATGGGCCGCCCTGCGACCAGCTGCCCACAACTCCTCCCCTCCCGGCCCACCGCCACGGGGGGCTCTCCCAGGCTGTGCCCAACTCTCTAACTTCGTTCCCAGGCCTTGTCCTTCCTCAGCTCCCCCCGATGAGCCCGGCATTCCAGCACCCAAGAACCGCCGGTAGCCGGGGAGGAGCAGGGCAGGTATGACCATCCCCTCGGTGTCGCGGCTGCACGTCCCGGCTTTTCCTGTCCCCGGCCCTGCGGCCGCCCCTTCGTCCTACCGGGTGCGCAGAGCCTGGCCCAGCTGCCGCTTGTCCCCTTGGGGGGCTTTTCTTTTTCTTGCTCTACCTTCCCTTTTCCCTGTCCCTCCCGGTCGGGGGCCGCAGCCCGGCCCTCTGGGGTGGCTCAGCGCCCCACAAGCTCCCTGCCCGCCGCTGCCTCCTTGCCTCCGTTCGCAACACAAAAGCCCCGGACCGAAGCGGCCGAGCAAAGTCCCCGCCCGCTGCCCTCTCCACAACGCGAACTCCAGAGGGAAATCTCCCCCCTGGCCTCCGCTCCTAAGCCCGGGAGTCCCTTAGTCTTTGGAGCTTTCGGCAGGAGAAAGAGGAGTTGGTCACCTCAGGCACCTTTGCGTGACATGAGGCAGGCACCAAGACAACGTTGCGCCAGTTCCGGCAACCCAAAAGGAACCCTCAGGGCACGGGGGTCGGGCTGAGGGCCAGGGGGTGTACCCGGAGCACCCCTCATCCCCTATACCCCTTGCATAGCCTCCTCAACGCTGTCCGTGAAACTGTGCTTAAAACAGCAGCTGAAACACCATCAATTGTAACTGATTAACATGGATTAGTTTGGCCTCCAAAGCACTTTAAGTCAATTCAGCAGCCATAATAATAATTAATTCATTAATAAGTACTATTGGTGCTTCATCACTAAAGCCAAGAAAAGTTTCCCTGCTAAGTACAGGTGGCAGGGAGTATTAAAATGAAAACATTTGCATGCAACTTTTTAACCAGAAGGGAAAGCACTTTGGTTATATTTGGAGACATGTGTCTCACACATTTCCCCCTTTTTTTTTGTAAACTATGTAAGAATAAACATTACAGCTCTGGGCTTTTAATTTCTCCAGATGGAATCATAAAGTACCTAGTAGATTTCTTTCTTTTTATTTATTTTTTTTTTTACTATACAATTGAGGACACATGTCTGCTTTTCCCAATGAGAACCGAGAAGCAACTTAATTTGAAGGCATAACTACTGAACCACACATTTCGAATAACACACTCGAACAAGTTCACTTTAAAAGGCAGGAAACCGCTAAGAGCACAGCTCTGAAAGTTGCTCCTTCCCGCTGGAGCTTCACTGACCTTCACGTACACCCTATCGTTTCCTAAGCTTATAGAAGTATATGTATACGTATGGGTGGAGGGGTGCCTGGCCGCGAAGGGGTCTTTTCCAAGGCGCTCGCGGCCCCGGGATGGCTCGGGATCCCCCCCCCCCGTTACGGCGGTAGAGCCCTGTGATGAATGATGGTGAGAAGAGAGGGCTCCTCCCGCCCCCCCTCCTCGGCTGCACCGAGGGGTTTACTCACCCTCCTGACGCTCCCCTCCGCTCCTCACACGGCCACCTGCGCAACCAGCAAAGCGCTCCCGTGGAGAGCGAAGGGGGGGGGAATTTCCAAACCCCACTACTTGGGTACCGTAGAGGATGCTGAGGGGGTCAGGAGCCCCTGGGCTGGGCGGGAAATAACAGGAAAGAACAAAAGAAAAAGCTAAAAAGAAAGTCCAAGGACAAGATTTCTTGCCCTAAACTCTGATGGAGGGTTTTGCTTTTCCTTGACTTTTTTTTTTTAATTGGATTTAGGTGATGGGAATGAACAAGATAGCCCACTCATCTTCCTAACTAGACTCAGCCTCTTCCTCCTCCTCCCCAGTCCCCCGCCTCGGTTCTGACTTACATGTGTTTAGCGCAATAGCAAGGGGCTCCCCACTGGAGCCCTGGCAGAGGGTGCGTGTAAAGCGCGGATGATTTACTCCCCGAGAATTCGGGTCCCGCGTGTGAGCCTCCGGCCCCGCGTCAGCTGGGCACTGCTGCAGACAAACATTCTTAAATATGCATAAGGAACCGTTCCCTTTCTTAAAGGAGAACTCACCCTGCTGGGAAGTTCAATGCCCGACGGCAGGGACGGAATGCGGGGGGGCATGGCCTTTTTGTCCCGAGAGCCCTGACCCCTTCCCGGGATGTTTGCCTCCACGCTCAGCAACCGAGCTGGACGCGGCCGCCTTTCTGCTGGTGACTAGGCAGAGGAGTAAAGCCCAGCCGGCCACTGGCTGGGTGCCCGGTGTTTGAGCGGACCAGCGTTGTCACCTCTCAGCGCTGCCCCGGTCCGTTCCCGCCATGGCCGGAGTGGGTCCGGGGTAGAGCCGCCCACCGAGGGCAGCCTCACTCTGGCGGGTCCCCTACCCGGGCCACCGGCCGGCTGATCGGAAACGTGAGGGGTCCTAAAGAGGGGAAACACGGGACTCCAAGAAATCAAAACCCGGGGAGTGTGTGGGGGATATGGATGAAACCCTCAGCCAGCAGGTCCCAGCCCGACTGCGCACATTGCCGGAGCAGCTTTTTTTGAGCAGAACAGGAAGGCGGGGAGGGATGGGGATCCGGGTTCCGCCGGTTGGGACCCCTCTGAGACACCGCTCGTGGGTCCCTTCGTCTCTCCAGGCCCTTCCCCGTGGAGGAGCACGGCTCCCCAGGACATGGTCGACCGCTTGCACCCCTGACAACTTGTCCTGGGGCCCCCGGGGACCGGGCCGCTGGGGTGCGGGCGGGGAAGGAGCATCCTGCCGCAGGTGTCCCCCCACTCGCAACTCTCCGCGGGGCGGGCTCTCCGCGCTTCGGACACTGTGAGTTTGTGGGTTTTAATGATTATCGTTATGATGATGATCCCTTTTCTCCTCCGCGCACGTGGTTGCAAGGTCTGTAGCGCCACCTAACGGGAGGCGGAGGCCCCGCCGCTCGCACTGCCGGGGGCAGCGGGCGCCGGTCCCGCCGCCCGTCTCTCCCCGTGCCTCCTGGCGCCCTTCCTCCTCTGGAACGCCGGGGACTCGGGGCGGAGGAGTTATTTGCTCCTTTTCCTCCCCTCTTTCTATTTGCGCCTTATTTTTTTCTTATTTTTCTTTATTTTTTATATTCTTTTTATTTTTTTTATTTAAGCCCCTCTGTCCCGGGCAAAGCAGGCACCGACCGCATGTCATGCTGATTTCTTTCAAGGCACGTTCCGGCTGCTCCGACCGATAGACACCCCGTGGGTTCAGTGGCCCCGGCCCCCCGGAGCAGGGTTGGGGTGGGCACCACTCCTGGGAGAGAGGTGGTGCCCTTTGCAAGGGGAAAGGTGGTGATCCTCTGTACAAAACCTGCTCCAGAGCCTTTGCGTGTTTATTTTTAGTTTTATTTATTATGCGGTTGTAGCTGTGAAGAACTGGTAGAGCTGCATCATCATCATTATTATTGTAATCATCATCATTAGTTATTAATTCTTTATTTCATTTTGATGTGGGGATGAATACATCCCAGCAAAGACAGCCAGAGTTGAGGGTGGGAAGTCAGGCAGGGCCCCAGCCATCTGCCACATCTTGCAAGTGAATAGGACCCCCATTTCTGCTGCTTCTTTGGTAGCTCAGGAAGCTCTCTGTTACCAAAATGTCTGAACCTATGTTAATTGTTAAGGTTAAATGATGACGTTGCCCTTTTGCAGGGGCCCTGCAGCCCTGCCTGTGTTCACAGTTAAGAGTGACACTTATTTCAGGATGCACCTGACCCAGCCACCCCAGTTGATCTAAGGCATAAAGTAAGTTGCCCAGATTAGGAGCCTGCTCACTCCAGGCCCATGGCATGTGTAGCAAACAGAAGCAGAGACCCTCTGGGACATGTTTGGGCTCATGTAAGATCACTACCAGCCTCTACAAATGTCTGCCTCTCTACAGCTCTTGCTACATCTAAGGGCACAAGTTAGAATTGGAGAATACAGGCATTGCTACTGATCCAGGACAGAAGTTTTCCTTCAGGTTTGAAGCTTACCTTTATTCAGTTTCTGTATTTCTGTTACAGATAAAGAATACAACCTACATCTTCAATTACACATACCGCTTTTGCTGTGTTTACCTAGCTCTTCTGCACACGCATGTTGGCAGTGAAGCACAGAAATCTTTCTGTTCCTGCCTAAAGCCACAAAATGGTAGAATAGCCTTTGTCTAGCACCAACTGTATTTGCATCAGCCACTCAAACAGTATTTATTTTTTCAGCCCAGGTTGTCCAATCCCTTGTATATCACTTCTGCCTGTGGCAAATCCTATGTGACTTAGATGGCCAGGTTAAATTTGCCAGTGATTTTGTCAGGTTAGGTACCTGAGAGCCACTGACATCCCTTGGCTCAGAAGTTTACTACTGCTAAGGCATTTAAGACCCAGCCCAAACAGAGGGTTTAGGCTACAAATTCCTGTGGGAGGTCCTGACTTCCTCTAGGCACCAGCAGGGAAAGAAAAGCCTAAACAAGAGTTATGAGTCTAAATCCTTTTCTGTATGTGGACCTCAGTCTTAAAGCCCATGCTGAAATATTTAGGTTCTAAATCCCTCTTTATTTTGATGTAACATCTAAAGCATCTTTGACAGGACTTGTACCATTTGGAAATGGGGCTCATCCACCCAGGTTGCCTGTGCCTTCTGAACAGAGGAACAACTATGCTGAAAAGCCTTCACCCTGAAACTCAATTCTGAGGCCCTCTGACAGACAGAATCAGACTTTTTAGGTGCTCTTTATTGCTTTAGAATAAGGAGTGAAAACTTCATACACTCCATAAGGAATCTGAAGTGAAAGGTGACCAGGACATTATCCTTTTGGACTGTGCTGCACCACAGGCACTACCTAAACCAGACAATTAAGCATCAGTAACTGCTGCCTGATCAATTCTCTGCTGCTTGGTCAAATTTTCACTGTGTTTTGCATTTTCAGAGGTGAAAGTGTGATTCGTAACCCCTCTCCCATGTAATCTCCTGACACCTTAGGAGCACTAATAATGAAAAATAACACACATTTATTCCAGTATCAAAATAAAGCTTGTAAATACAAACTGAACTTTGCATGACGAAAATGAAATACTGTCACTCAACTGGTTTTATAGACAAGAAATTTTAATGTGTGTATCCACAGACAAGAACAGATTTTCATTCTTGAGTCTGCAGACGCTCATCTTGTTCAATGATTGGGAGGAAAGGCTATTTCTGTCTATGCTGAATTAAGAATGTATTTTCGGGTGTATGAAAACCAGACAAATTCTGATAGTCAGGCTAGGATGTCTCAGAGCAGGCATGAAAAATCAGGCACACCCCAGTTCATTAGCTACCTATGAAGAGTTAGGCTAGAGAGGTTTATGACTAGATCCAGTGAAGGATTTACATGTTTTAAGAGTTAGTTGTCTCAGTACTTAACTTTCAAGTGCCATGCCCCGAGGCTGGCATGCCTGGTGTTATGTTTGGCATCTGGGCTTACTACACTGTGAATGGAGAAGGTGCGTACAGCCAAATCTTTTGTACCTTGTCCAAAGCCATACTGTCCAGAAAGGACAGGAACAGCAGAGAGGCCTGGGCTTGTGGTTATATCAGGAAATAGGAATCAGTGGCTTCAACTGAATCTTTTAAACTAAGAAAGGTGTCCTGGGTTCAGCAGTAGCAGTCATTTTTCTCCTTCTTAGTAGCTGGTACAGTGCTGTGTTTTTGACTTTCAGTCTGGGAACAGCGCTGATAACACCAATGTTTGTAGTTGCTGCTCAGTAATGTTTAGTCTGACCAAGGACTTTCTGAGTCTCATGCTCTACCAGGGAGCAGGGGAAGCCGGGAGGAAGCAAAGACAGGACACCTGACCCAAACTAGCCAAAGAGGTATTCCATACCACAGCCCGTCATACCCTGGATGTAGAACTGGGGGCAGGTACCCAGAAGGGCTAGATCACTGCTTGGTCGTGCTGGGTATCGGTCGGTGGGTGGTGAGCGGTTGTATTCTCTTCCCTTGTTATTTCCCTTATCATTATTATCATTGGTGGTAGCAGTAGTGATTTGTGTTATACCTTAGTTACTGAACTGTTCTTATCTCAGCCCGCGGGAGTTACATTCTTTCGATTCTTCTCCCCATCCCTCAGAGTGGGGGGAGGAAGGGGGAGGAAGGTGGGGGGGGGGGGGAGTGAGAGAGAGACTGCATGGTTCTGAGTTACTGACTGAGTTTAAATCACAACAAAAGGGAAAGGTTTTCTTCCACTTTTATGTGAAGAGTGATGGAAGCACAGCTGCCCAATGTCTTTCAGGTGGAGGATTCTCCATGATTGTTCTTCAGTCATCCCACAAGCAGCACGAGTTCAGAAGGATGGCAGCTGGCACATTTTGCTATCACAACCTCCAGCTTAGGAAAGGTCCTCTTGACCCTGGTGAGGAAGACCTACTTTTAGTTCTACAGTAGCAGATATTAATTCTTTTCTATCAGGTAGGACGTAAAGATTGTCATTCAACCTAAAATATGACACCTATTTTCTTTGACTATATAATCTTAGAGTAGCTTGGGGTTTTCTCTATCACTCAAAGAAGTTAAGCTCTGGCTTTGAAATTATTTCAGTGTTGTGAGTTTTCTCATACTCAAAAGATGAGAACAGCTCCTTGAGCTAATTCTAAGCAATGCATTTCCCAGGTCAGTCCAAGGAGAGCCCAAGGCAGGATCAGCTATGGCAAGTCAAAGGTATGTTTTGCTGTGCAATGCATAGTGATTACACCATCCTAAACTTTTGATTCTGAACTTGCTGAAGTTGTATGGGAGGTTTTTGTTCCTCCAAAGTCCTTTTGCTGAGCCATTGGTGAATTATGTGATGGGCACCTTTTTTTTTTTTTCTGGGGGGTTAGCTATGATTCAACTGAAAACCCCTCTGTCTGCCCCAAAGGCTTCTCTTACAGTTCTTCCCTTTCCAGCGTAGAAAGACAAGGGACCAAACCCTATGAGGTTTTTCTAGTAAAGCAAGGAGCACATTAATTCCTTTGTACAAAATTGAAGCAGCTTCATCCACAGGAAGGTATTTAATTAAAACTGGAGTAGGTTTCAGAAGTGCTAGGGA